GACCATTTAAGACACTGAGACGGCAGTGACAGGAGTGGGAAGGAGCTTTCGATAGTGGTTCTTGGCTGGCAGGTGACTCGGATCACACACAGAATCTTGAGACTGAAATATTGATAACACTGCACAGGGGTGGTGGTGAGGGAAGAACTTCTTTTTAAAATCTCCCAACCACTCCTCAAGCCTGACTCCTGTAATTTACAGAAATGGAGGCACATGACGGTGATTTGCTTCAGGTTGAACATACACCCTTTCCACTTTGTGTTTGTAAACCCCACGTAGTTCTTTATTTTTTAAGCAAGTACTGAAGCATGCTCTTTCATGCCCAAGGAAGCAACACCAGGAGCCTGGGCCTTCCCTGGGCCATCATGCCCTCAGGAGCCAGGGTACATTGGAAGCACTGGGGGGAGAAGGCACAGACTTCAGCTTGAAGACCGGCAAGGCTGGGAGGGGCTTCTTGTGAAGGTATTTTCCTGTGTGTTGCAGTGGGCTTCATTCGCCTTCCCAGCCCTCCATCTCAGAGAAAAACGAAACCAATGTGATAAGGTGTAGGTACTTGCCAAACTGTTTATTTGCCATTCACTAGTTATAATATTGGATTTACAGAAGAAACTGTGGTACAAAGACAGTAAGGCTCCACTGGTTCCTGGGCAGCAGCAGTCCAGCTGCCGTGCACAGGCTGGGCACGATGAATGCTCCCGGCAGAGCGGGGCGGCCACTCTGACTACGGGCATTGGACCACGCACGATGGAGTGCCAGGTCTCCTGCACTATCTAGAAACACCTTGCAGAGGGGCTTCTGGGGTGTTTTCTCATATCGTGTCTGGTTTAAAACCGAAGATTGACAGTTCCCTTTCAGGAAGTGTTCAATATGTCAGTACCAGGGAGAAAGAAACACAAATTCCCAGGATGCTTTGTGAACAGATCCAGTAACTGCTACATAGAGACACTTGGTGGGGCCTGTTCAAGAAGGACTGTATTTCCCATCCTTATGTTTTCAATAGATGTGTTATACTGTCATTTCAATTTGGAAGTTTATTTTTTACCATTGATTTTTATACATCCAGAATAGCACAAATAATAACAGTTTTTTTTTGCACATTCATTTCCCCTAGAACAAAAAGTGAACTTTAAAAAAAATTGGAACCATGCTATGAGCTCTTTACAAAAGTGAATAAAAAGTAGCTCGTTTTTAAGTCTAAAATAAACAAAGTAGAAAGAAGCATTTTTTTTGTCTACAGTATTTAGCAAACATAAGAAAAAGTCTTTAGAAACACACAAAAAATTGAAAAAAGTTATTACAAGTATTAACAATATTTTATAATGAAGCTTAAAATCTATTTACATACATAAATACAATTAACTTCGTTGATGCAACTCTTCTGGAAGGAAAAAAAATGCCAAATGATCAGCTTCATCAATACTGATCTGGCTAAAGGGAGGAGAAAAACTCCAAACAGACAGACAAACAAACAAAAATCCCCAAATCATTGTATACTGCAGGTAAACAAAAAGGCATTTTGTTCAGATGTAAAAAATGTTTTCTGAGATTATTGTTAAACCGATTTTTCATGTATAAAAGATCCCAAACATGTCATTCCCCCAGAAAAACAAAAACCACCAGGACGGAATGTCCCAAGGAAACAGGTATTTCAAGACAGAAATCTGCAATCCTAAATTGCAGGACATTTGAGTGAAACCATTCATTTCCTTTCTAATCAGAGCATTTCTGTTTATCTGCACAGAAACCTTAGGCAGCAGAAAGGCTGTCTATTAACTCACTGATTGTAATTTGCCCAGGAAGGCTTCTGTTGCGGCACTTGGACAGCAAGCAGATCCAAAATGGTTGGCAATGTCTCTGTTCTGCTGGAAGAAACCCATAAGCAGGAGAAAGGCTGACTCACCACGTTCCTTTATGTAAAGGGAGGGGAACTGCAGCTCCGTGTGTTCCCGACAGTTGGTGTTGGGGGTGGGGGGTATGCTATCTCCTTACAGAAAGCCAGAGAAAGGAGGAGGGAGAGGAAGCGAGAAAGAGGGAGATATTGGGGAGGTGGAGAGAGAGAGAAATATAAGCATTTTCAGATAGTCAGAAAAACAAAAAGAACTGAAACGTGTCCATGTTGAAATTATAAATAAGGGCAGGAATAAGCAGAAGAAATGGCTTATTTAACCTTTCTTCTCTTGGACCAATGCTCCCAGATACATCCAGTTATTACATTATTGGCTTAAGGGTCTCCCTGATATAAAGACCACCTTAATTTTCCTGAAGGCAATGAATGCAATTCCTCAGGGAAAAAAAAATGCGTTGTGCGAGACCTATCTCCAAAACAACTAAGATTTCATATTTTTCTTCTGGAACGATTAAATACTATAAATGCTGGTAAGGGTCTGTGAAACTCTGAATGGCCAATCCAGTGGGTCTACAACAAGGTGACAAGCCCTCCTCATCCTTGGCTTTGAGAGTGAAGATTCAGTGTGAGACAATATTGGATTCCCCTTGTAGGGCATTAGGCTGGTTTTGAGTTGGAATATCTTCAGATACCAGAATTGAACTGAAAAATGTAAATTTTTTTCCTTCATTTTTTCCCAACATTTTGTCAGGTCAGATATGGCAACATGTGCTGAAAAGAACATTTAAGTCCACTTTGGGGTAAATGAGCTAAATGGTCCTTATCAGAAATAAAATTTTTAAATTTACTGAGAGTAATTTTAAATTGGAGGGCAATTTTGCTGCAAAAATGTAATAGAGACTAAACATGAAACGGAATTGTGGAGGGAGAATGATGTCGAAAATGAAAATGAATAGATTCTGAGTTTCTCCAAGATCTGCTTTAGCTCTTTTCTAGATAAAAACGACCTGACTGACAACAAACTGTTTTATTCTTTAACTCTTACCAAAGTGCTACTGCATCTGTGTAAAACAAATAATCAATATATATATATAAGAAAACTCAAAAACAAGTTGTTTTAAATAAGTCCAGCTGTTTTGCTGCCTGCAGCCAAAGATCTAATTTGAATCCTTAAATTTATAAAATAAAAATCAAACACTGTTCTGAAGTCCTGCTTTCAAATACTCTTCAGAGTTGACCTGAAATTGTTTCAACAAATTTAAGAGGTACATTAAATAACAAGCAGATCATTTTGAGCACACACGTCAAAATCAGCAGTTAGTATTTATGAGTTGTACTACAACTGCATTCTGACCAAATCCTCCAATAAAAATAGTGCCATAAAATTTACAGTGACATCGGATACACTTAAACTGTAGCCATGGGCAGCAGTGACATGAATCTTTCCTGTCATGCTGATGCACAGGGAAAAGTGCACACCCCCCACAGGGCAGGGTCTCAGCCTGGTGAGAGCAATGCAAAGATGGGTGGTGAATGAGCAGCAGGGCATGGGGTCCTGCACAGATGGGATGCTCTCCTACGTGACTCCACTGAGCACACAGGGAAATTGGCTTTTCAGGCCTGGGCCCACCCTATGAAAATTCAGCTGGAGACCTTCCGCCGTCAAAGGCAGCTGGTCTAGTCCCTTTCAGTCTCAGCCTTGGGGGACAGCTACAAGTTTTGTTCTGCATCAATGAACAGGTACTGTATCAAAGAGGAACATTTTCTTGGAACTAACAAATCTAAACTCTGTGTTCAGATGATCTCCTTCCTACCCCAGAATCCAGCCGGTAAGGAACCCCTAAATTCATCCCTCTGGTTCCCATGTGAATACTGCTCCTCCACACAGCTTACTTTGGATTCGTTTTGTTACAAAGTATGTTTGAAATTATCAAGAGGCCATGGAGTGAGCAAACCCTTAGGCAGAATATAAATCTTCTCCAGAGGTGCAATTATTGGCATCTACCTTAACCCTCTGGAAGCAGATTTGACCTTCTCTGTTTGAAAGGAGGGAGTCAGATATGAGACCCTTTGTTGAGCTTGGCAGAAAATTCCATACTTCAGATCCTTGGAGTGACCCTCAGTATCTAAAAAGCCTTTCAAAAACATTGCTGCATTAGCTACCAACTCGTTTGATTAACATGAAAGGGAGTTTAATGTAAACAATATTTAGATAACCAAGTGATCACAATACCCATCCTTTTTTTCCAGCCTTCTTCAATGTGATACATTTAACTTTGGCTACTATCAAAAACAAAAAATGTAGTACTTGATATTTTTCTTCTTAATATAAGTACATTTAAATAATAAAAAAAGTATCAACACATAAGTAAGTGTCTAAACATCAAGATACATAAATATCTAGGGATTCCTTGTGGGAATACAGTAGTTGAAAATGACCCAAAGCCGTAGCTGTTTCTCAAAAAAACAACTACACAAAAGTCCAAAAGAAAAGTTAAATAAAACTTAACAGGAAAAGGAATCATATTTCTTTCAATTGTCAAAGCAAGAAAGAAGCAAGCTCAAATTCATACATATAAAAATAAAAACCACCCCAAATGCAAATACGCATTTTGCAATTTATAAGGTGCTGGAAAAGAAAATTAAAAATATGAATCAGATGCCAAACAGGATGAGTTGCATTCCCCCCTCCCCCCCAACCCAAATTCCACACTCTTTGGAATAAACAACTTGGTTAAAAAGTGAAGTCAAGGGTATAAAATCTTTCTTTTATTCACAGCATTGCTAAATCAGAAGCATTCACAGTTTCCCTCTGGGAATCTTCCTGTTTGCCTTACAACGTGTCCACGTGGTGGTGGAACGGACAGCCTCAAGTTGTGTCAGGTTTGAAAACTCGGAGACGGGCCAACAGCGACGGCAAACTGCACGGACTTCAGAAGCCAGGCGGCCTGGGGGCCCAGGCCCGGAGCGAGATCCCCGATCACAGGGGGATGACACGGGGGTCACAGGGGCGTGCTGCCCCTAGACGGTGGCGGGGCCCACGCGGGTTTCAGAACAGAAGGCTGGGCCTGGAGGAGGCTCTTCCCGGGGCGACGTCCGGCGGCGCGGCCTGGAGGCCGGAGGCCCGAGGCCCGAGGCCCGAGGCCCGAGGCCCGGCCGGCGCGGGCCGCTCAGTAGGGCCGCCACACGGCCTCCTCGAGGCGCGCGGCGGGCGCCATGTTGGTGGGGGAGTTGCTGTGGCTGCCCTCGGCCTCCACCACGTCGCTCTGGTTCGGGAGGCTGGGGTTGAGCAGCGCCGAGCCGGTGGAGGCGTTGGTGCAGGGCGGCAGGATGCGCGGCGGCGAGCGCTCGCCGCCCACCATGGAGAACTGGTAGGAGCCGGCCGAGGCGCCGTAGTACAGGTGGTAGGACGGCGAGCTGGCCTGGAACGGGCCGCCCTGCGCCTGCGACGAGCCCGGGTAGGGCGGCGGCAGGTACGTGTGGTAGCGCGTGGCCGAGCTCATGGCTGACATGCCGATGCCGATGCCCGACGTGACGGGCGTCGGGGAGTAGGTGAAGGCGCCGGGGTAGTGCATGCGAGGGTCTGAGATAGAGGGCAGCGCGGGGAACTGCCGCGGGTCTCCGAAGGCCGTGAGGTCCGGCGCCGCTGTGGGGCGGGCGGGAAAATACCGTCAGACGGGAGTTCAGGGAGGCCACGCCCCTTCCGCCGCTGCCCGCCCACAGGAGGATTACCCAGAATGCTGCTGCCCAGGGAGGAGATACGGACTTCCTAGAATGCTGCTGCCCAGGGAGAGGGGGTCTACCCAGAATGCTGCTGCCCAGGGAGAGGGGGACTACCCAGAATGCTGCTGCCCAGGGAGGAGATAGGGACTTCCCAGAATGCTGCTGCTGCTCGGGGAAATGGTATGATAATCTATAGTAATAGAAGATAGTAATATATGATATCATGTAATGTAATGTGGTATGTGATGTAGTATTGTTATAATATAATATATAATAATACAATATATAATACAGATAGTCTAGACGTAATATGTATAGTACAGATATAACATTGATATAATTCTGGGGTTGGCAAACCCACCTGCCAAATCCAGCTGCCACCAACGTTTGTATGGCTCACAAGCCAAGAATGAGGTTTACTTTTCAAAATGGTTGAGAAACAATCAAAAGAATAATAATTTTCCTGACGTGAAAATTGTATGAAGTTCAGATTTCAGCGTCCATATGTAAACTTTGATTGGAATAAACCTCACTCACTCTGTTATGTATTATCTACGGCTGCTTCTGAGCCACCACTGCAGAGTTGAGTGCTTGTGACACAGACCACAGGGTCCAGAAAGCCTAAAATATGTAGTATCTGGCTTTTTAAGAAAAAAAGTTTGCCAGCCCTCTATAGAACCAATATATTAATACACCAATGTTAATATAAATTTAATCTGTGCTATTAATATAACAATATATAACTTATAACACAATATAACACTATATAATAATTACTAGTGTAATGGATGCACTCCTAGATTAATATTAATAATTACTAGTGTAATGGATGCATTAATAGATTAATATTAATAGAATATATCATATGTAATATGATATTGTGTCATAAAAATATTAATATATAACATTTTAATACATTATACATAGTATTTAGGTTGAATCATAGGAAATTGCCATTTCTGTAAGCCTCGAACAATTAAAAATTGGCAATTTCCTATGATTCAACCTGATGCATGCCATAGTAAATGACGGTGAGTGAATGTCAGTGGATTTCAACACCACTCTTTCTCCCCCACATCCACCTTCAGACTAGTTCCACATTTTTAGAAACAATACAGCCTCGATTTCACCCAATATTCTCTACTATGTGCTTCACCGTTTTGTTAACATGAATAGCTGCAGGACCTGGTTTTATCTACTCCATTTTTTGCACATGTTGAAATTTTACCAGGAATGGCGAAGCTTTGTCTATAAAGCTCATTTTGTTAGGATTATGCATCTACAGTTTCACAAGCTGGTTTTGGCTGTCCTTCATTGCATCCTTCTGCATTTTTCTTAACCACAGGCTGCCCTTGGGAACTCCTAGGGGGTTTGGGTGCCAGGAAGGGTTCCCTGTGTCCTGTAGATTGGAGTTTTTCAACAGTGGCTCTATGACATTTTGAGCCAGATAGTTATTTGTTGGGGCGGTGGGGGGCTGTCCCGTGCATTGTAGGATTGCGGCAGCATCCTTGGCCTCTGCCCACCAGACGTCACTGGTGACCCCACTCCCTGCATTGTGACAACCAACAATGTCTCCAGACTGCCAAGTGTCCTGGGGGTAGGAGTGAGGGGTGCAAAACCACCCCCCGCTGAGAGCCACCACTGTAGACATGGCATCCTGGGGTACTTTCTGTTCCTCAGAGTTATTCATCAAATGACCAGGCCAGGACTATAGTCTTGATATCAGCAAACCCAAAAGACAGCAACAAAACAGAGCAGAGGCAAGAATTAATGTTTTAAAATTTGTTAAGTTCTCAAATCAACATAGAAAATAACTTCCAAGCTCAGGGTGGCATGTGGCTTGTGCCCTTTTGTGTTCGGGCCCATAGAGCAACTTGATGGAGCCAAAAGCTTGCTCTGAAAGGAAAGCTACCAGGGTGGATTAATCTGTTTTTGGAAGGCATCCGCTGTTGATCAACTTCCTCATATTTCAAGCCTATTATTCCAGCAGGGAGAGCTAGTGTTCTGGTTCTCTCTCTCTTTCTCTCCCTCTCCCCTCTCCCCTGTCTCCTTCCCTGGCCCTCCCTTCCTCCTTCCAAATGAACTCCTCTGTAAATTTGGGGTGAATGTCTTGAAGGGATATACTCCTCATCAGAGAGGTAATTAAAGTTTATAGAAACAACCGAAGTCTGCAGCAAATCTCTCCACTGATGAAGAAACCAGGAGTCTGACTTTCAAACAAACACTCCTGTTAATCTTTTCAAAGCGAGTCAGACATGTGGGCAGGGAAAAAGCTGTAAACTGACAGTGGTACTACGGCTGCCCTTGCATGGCCACTGCTCGTCCTGAAGCCAGGCCGCACCTCATTCCACAGGGTTTGTCCCTGCCTGCTCACTGAGGCCATCTCTGAGCAAGCCCTGTGTCACTTGTTTTTGCTCCCACGGAGAGCTGTGACATGTTTGAGAGTTAACAGGAAGCTTTACTCCATTTTTGCAGTTAGATTTCTATAGTCTAGGGAGAAGCCGAGGCAGGAGGAAAAGCATCAGGCAAATATAATCAATTTGTTGTCAACTGATGCAATACTCCGGACACAAATAAATGACTCCGCCCATTACTCCTCTTGCTTCACTTGCCCTGAGACAAAAAGGTGAATCCACTGCAAAATGAATGAAAGGTCACCCTGTTTCACGGCGATGTCTGGACATGCTCCGCCAGTCTGTTCCAACTACTATGTGGTAACCTGGTGATGGGACCAAGTTACCGGAATCCTGAGCGAGTCCGTGATTTGTCACGGACAGAAGTAATGGAATGATGTTACGGTCTCAGCTGTCAGGGGAAAAGAGTTGTTTCACTTGTGGGCAGAATATCTGAAAGATCTTAAATATCGCCCGTGATTCTTCTTCTATCCACACAGTCCCAGTGTCATACTACAAAAGATCATCCATTTGGTCAAATTATCCTTTTTATACACATTTTGAGAATAAAACAACTTTGGCCCTCTAGATGCTTAGATTCAAACGATCTATTCAAATATTTGTTTTCATTTCTGTGTCCAGTCTGACACCTCCTACCAAGCCCTATTGGTCATGCACAATTCACCCACCTGGCAGTAGCTCATTTGTCCTTTTGACTGGCCTGGTTCCCCCTTATTCAGTAGCAGTGTGGGCAGAGGTGGGGACCCCTGATAGTCACAGGGAGCTTTTAAAGAGTAGGAAATCTGGGGATTAGGAGAGTCAGGTATTTTAGTTGGAAATGTTTCCCCACCGCTGGGGCTAAATATTTGCCATGACAGCTCAAGCCTTCCTTCTGCAACTTGACATGGATGAAAGCAGCCCCCCTCCGGGCCCCTCCCACTGCCCCCAAAGGATTAAGCAGCCTGAGCAGATAATGGCTGCCTTAAAAGGATCTTTTGCATGACTCAGATTAATGCATGCTGTCTGTCGCCCAGGTTGGCAGCTAAACATTAATTTTTTGAAAAAAAGAAAAAAAGAGAAAGAAAAGAAAACCTCCAGATGACAACTCTTTTCAGACAAGGTATGGAGCCTGTCTGCAAGGAAAGAGAGAGAGACCGACAGAGTGCCGGTCTCCCATGCAGAAGAGGGCCCAGGTGGGGCTAGGGGCGGGGAGAGGGGCAGAGCACAGAGCTGGGGGGCGGGGTTAAGAGGAAGAGCAGGCACAGAGCAGTGTCGGGTTCTCAAAGCTGGCCGCCAGGCAGCCACTTTTCTTTTATGCGTCCCACCCGCCTCCTTCCCCCAAGCGTATGACAACACTTTTCAGGCCTGTGCTCCAGGCTCGATTTCTCAGAGGGCAATCTGCCAAGTTGAAGAGCAGTCTCCCATGCTGTTCTTTGCCACTGGTGAAAGCTCATCTGGAATTCTCTCTGGTCCTGCCTCCACGGCAGCAGAGGATCATTCTTGGGTGCTAAAACGGGACGTGGTTTTTATCTGCTTCACACCCTCATGCCATAAAACGTCCTTCCATACTCCTTGGGTAATTGAAGTCTAGGTTATTCAAAAGTGTAACTGATATGACATGTGGGAGTACACACGTTACTCATTCCTTTAAAAGCAACAAGTCACCCTTGCATCTGAACACTGGTCAGTGGGAGCAGCTGGCCCCTAGGGTTCTTGGACTGTAAGGTGTCGATCTTGGGTGGTGACCAAGTCCAAAGACTTACATAATAAATTCCAAGGGACAGACCCACAGCAGGGACATTTCCAAGGAAAACAGTAATTCTTTCAGTTGTAGACCATAGCCAGTGGGCAGAGCAGTGCCACCGAGAAGAATCAATAAAAGCTGACAAATGCCCTTGGAATCAAACCAGTCTTGAGGGAGCAGAACTTCTAAAGCAACAAACTGGACAGACATCATGATTCCTATGCTTTTCCCTCAACTCCTTAGCCCAACAGGTGCCATGAAAATCTTGGCATTAATGGCCGAAAATATTGTGAAAACTGAGCAACTATGTTGGCTTTCCTATTTCACCGTAGAGCCCAAGAAACTTGAAGGCAATTTGTTGTCAACTGGGGAACAGTTTTGGCCTTTGGGACATTTGGAATGTCTGGAGACATTTTTGGTTGACACAATTAGGGGGTGCTACTGGCATCTACAGGTCAGAGATGCTGCTAAGTATCCTACGTTGCACAGCCCCGACCCCCCACAACAAAGAACTCTCTGGCCCAAAATGGCAATGGTGCTGCTGTTGAGAAGCTCTGAGAAGGTATTCTGTGAAGCTCTGAGAAGAAGCTAAAGCATTTGGTGAAATCTCAAGTAACACAATTGTCTGCAAAACACAACATTACACAACGTTTAAAATGGCAGACACGATGCCCTTGCCCCTTTGCCTCCCCCCCAATCTGCTATAATCTGATCCCAAGAGTTGAAAAGCAAAAATAACCGCCCTCCCCCCAACACACATGAAGTGTGTTTGCAGGCCTCATAATGCTGAAGTTCTCTGAAATGTTTTCACAGTTTGGTCCAGCTCCAATTTCAAAGCCCCAAAAAGGGAGTTTCTTCTTTTGCTTTCAACAAAGGAATTTTTCTCTGTAACTCTAATTTCCCTGCCCACGAGCAAGGGTGAGTGCCAAGCCCAGAGGTCTCATAGGTTAAATGACTAATATTTAATGAGTGCGTATTCACAACGATTATGCTAACCACGACACCTGAGCTTTCCAATCCAGTATGAGCAGTTCTTAGTTGGAAATGGCTCTTTTGGGGTATATTTGCTTCCCATTCTACATGTACCCCAGTGTGCTGTTCATGTGACCTGTGAAAGCTCACCCCCACCAGATGGACCAGTCCCATCTGAGTTCTAGAAGCTGACTACGTTGGCCTTTTATATTATTAACCCTTCAGCTGCCACCCTTGCCTGCCAAATGTGAGCAGCCCGCAAAGAATCCACTTCTCCAAGCCACTTCTGTCTCCACATCCATAATCGCTGCCTCTGGGTGTTAAGGAAAATCAGTGCATGGGTGTGGGACTTAGAGATAGACAACCTTGTCTTTAAAACATATTTTATCCAATTAAAAATGACTGCAACCCCTTCATGCATCTCCTCTAGTCTCCCGAACTTTCCACTCTAGCGTGACTTCAGAATGTGTTTTCAAGCAGCTTACTTGAGAGTCGACTGGAAAGCTCTGCAGAGAGGGTTGTCATGCCGCTGGCCCGGCCAGGCGAGATGGGTGTTGCTGGATGTACGGAAGGGGAGGCAATCGATCCCAGGTACTGGTAGGACTGATCATAGGACCACGGTGGGGACGGCTGGATCTGCCTTGTATCTGCAGAGAATCAGGGAGGTCAGTTATATGTAGAGTGGGGTGGGATTTAAAAAAATAAGATGTCTTTTAATAAGAAACTCCAGTCATGCACTGCATAACGATGGGGATCTGTTCTGAGAAATGCGTTTAGGCGATTTCATCATTGTGCGAACATCATAGAGTGTACTTACACAAACCTAGACGGTATAGCCTACTACACACCTAGGTACTAATCTTATGGGACCACCCTTGTAGGTGCAGTCCGTCATTGACTGAAATGTCGTTATGCGGCGTATTACTGTAGCCACCTTTGTTTAAATATGTTATACGTGTCTGTGGCCTGTTTACCAGTGTTCAGTAAGCCTACTTAAGTCCAAGTATTTGCTTTTGTTCTATGATTCCCCCCCCGAAGATACTGAAATATAGTTTATGTTTGATTCTTCAAGATTTTCATCTGATAACTGTTCCTTCCAAAGATTTTATTGAATCATGCTAATAATGATGAGAGGAGCTGATTATGCTTTCCAGGTAGAAGTGTTCTGTGGAACTACACCACGTATTGGCTGCTCAGACAATTACAGCCTTACCAAATAATTACAATTAGCATCATCATAAACATTTTATAAACTCAGATGATCCTCTATCTGTACTTAGTAAGCAAAAAAGAACATAGGGTTTTGGTATTTTTTTTGTACCTATGGCAAAAATATTCCATGGGCTTTTAAATGTTTTCTGTTTAGGTGGATTCTCTTCCAAGAACCACAGCAAAGGTCTAGCTGGGAAACTGGCAATGAGGCCTGATGACCAGTTCACCCAGTTCTCCATCACCCAGACTAACAGAGGTGACCTGCTCCTTTTCAAGACCTCCAGTTTGCAACTTTTACAGGGTCAAATGTTGAGCAAGTATTTTATAGATTGCCATTAAAAGAGGCCTGGGATAGAGAAGAGACGAAAGTCTGACTTCAGAAGATTTAGGTAAAATGGTTTTTGTAAATTTCACTCCAGCATTCACAGGAGTCTTAGATATCAGAAGCATCACACTGTTACAGATGAAAAGGAGGAGAAAAAAACCCCCTTCTATTCTTAGGCAAAATGTTGAGGAGATTTAAATTGAACAGTGTCCTACCACAAAATAGCTTTATATTTCTTTAGAGTTAAACATTCATTTTCTGTTTGTGTCCCACTTTCTTTGTGGACAAGGGTGATGGCAAACTGTCCACCTTCCAAGGGTCTTCATAGCCACGGCTTCATGATGCTGGGAGAAAATCTAGAATGAGCAAACTTCCTTAGGAAAATACTGGGTGTAGGTTTTGTATTTGCCATGACATAAAGAAATGAGTTGTTCCTACCCATTATAAAATATTCAGCTCTGCTCCCTCTAGGGGATTTCATTTGCAGCAGTCAAAATGTGCCTTTTCTGTTGATCTCTGAATTTGTATTGGACAACAGAATCAGGCATTTGGAGATCCCAGTCTTTCTCCTCACTCTTCTCCTGACAGCCCCTGCTTTCCCTCATACCGACCTATTTCTTTTCTTTAAAATAAGTGAATTTTTAAGTTTGAAAAACCTGGGCAAGGGCCCGGCCCGGTGGCACAAGCGGTTAAGTGCACGCACTCCGCTGCGGCGGCCCGGGGTTTGCCAGTTTGGATCCCGGGCGCACACCGACGCACTGCTTGGCAAACCATGCTGTGGCGGCTGCCATATAAAGTGGAGGAAGATGGGCATAGATGTTAGCCCAGGGCCAATCTTCCTCAGCAAAAAGAGGAGGATTGGCAGATGTTAGCTCAGGGCTGATCTTCCTCACAAAAAAAAGAAAAACCTGAGCAAATATTTTAACTTAGGATCTTTGAAATCTACATTAAAGAAAGGTCTTCATTTCATTCTGAACTTTAGAGAATTTGAGGAGATGGCAAGGAATAAGAGAGCTGGTCCATTCTAAAGTCAGTGGAAAATAAATGTTCAACCACAGTCAGAGATCCTGCGTAATCTTACAGCTAACAGTGTTTCCAGTAATTGAAAGCAAAGAGCAATCGCAGGTTGTTCAATATTCCCATATTACTACAAGTATTTTTCTCTAAGTGAAAAAAAAGATTATATACTCATATATTCTATAAGACATGTGTATGTCCTAGATACGCAGATTTGCTAAGTGAATATATAGTACTCAGCTATTTTAATCATTTAAAAAGCAAACAAAAGAGATTTTATAATTGTCATAAAGTCCTCCGGGGTGTGAATTGCGGTACAGAATTCATGCCTTGTTGTGTAGACAGCCCAGCACCCCACCCCCATGTCTAAAACCACAGTAAGCATAAAGTATTATGCCATGATTCATGCTCTGTCATGTTTTACTGTAGTGAAAAAGTTGTGCTAGGCTTTTCTAAACTCATAATTAAACCATGCAAACGTTGCATAATGTTTCACAGCCTTTTAAAAATATGCTTTGGTAAAATGATCTTTATGATTAAAGTCCAAGTTCCATGTTTTTTTTTTTTAACACAGGGTTTTAGATTCAATATATTTTTCCTTCCCACCACAACTTAGCTTTCCAGTGTTATAGGGGGCATAGCACTAAAGACCCAAAGGCCCCCTCTGCAATCAGTTTTCATTCATGTGACCACAGGGAACTATCCTTGGGTTCATTGCCAGCGGTGGGCCAGAAGGTGGTGATGGCGAGCTTCTCATGTTGAGTTGATTTTTTTCTTCTATATGTATTATTAATAAAAACCAAAAACCAGAAAAACAAAACACAATGCTAAGGACCAATAATATGGTGTATGCTGAGTTTACTATTCAGTTACCGTCCTCGCTCTGATGGCTAATGTGAATGCATGAAGGCAAGTATAGAAATGGCAGTGCTGTGGGCGGCCCCAAGCGCTGGACTGAGAGGCAGGAGAAGTGACCTCTGGGCTGGTCTGTGTGGGGACCTTGGATTACTTGCTTACACTTTCTTATTCTCATCTCTGAAAGGAGATGATCTCCCAGCCCCCTCCAATGTGACAGCACAGGATTCTAATTCAAATAGGTCCTTTACAGTACTTCTCTGCTTAACTTGTATGTTAAACAGAGTCAGAGAAGAATCAGGTGGAGGTGTGGGGTGAAGAACGGTGCTTGTAATAATAAATATGTGTATTCTGGGAAGAGGAAGTAGACAGGATAAGATGGGGGTTATCCAGAAAAGAAGTCATAGTTTGAGGAAAAGAACCACTGTCAGTCATTCTCCAGAGAGTAGGGCTACTTATTCTTGAAGGGACTGCCTCGGATAAATCAGTCCATCAAAAAAAACACAAAAGTTTATTGAAAATTTCCTATGTGCCAGGCATGTGCTAATTTAGCTGGTAACAGAGTGACAAATAAGACCAGTATGGTCCCTGCCCCACTGGAGCTTATAGTGTGATATTAGTGAAGATCCCAGAACTATATGATGCTTGGAAAGGCTTCTTCCTATTGCATTAATCATCACGTGGGGAGTTCCTTCCTTCCTTCCTCCCTCCCTCCCTCCTTCCTTCCTTCCTTTCTCTATATGTTCATGAAGTTATTCACTTCCTCATTCATTCATGTTGCCAACGAACATTTTTGCTTTACTAGGGCCACTGTGTTGGGGACTCAGTAGTGAATGGATTATAGTCCTTGCCTTCAGGAAGTTACAGCTAGTGGGGGACCTATGGGCTGAATCCAGGCGAACTGTTGGATTATCTGCCTAACCTAGACTTGCAAACAGCTGTTCCCACGTTAGAGATGAGAACCGTAGTGGTACTTATGACATGCTTATGTTCTGCCTCTGAGAGGAGCAGACTAGGGAAAGCACCTAGTCTAAGTCATAGACAGATTTTGGGTTGAATCCTGCCTCTACCGTAAACTAGCTGTATGACTTTGGTTGAGTCACTTATTTTCTCTGATCCATAATTTTCCTACTTCAAAGGGTAATAGAGAGGAATAAGTGAGATAAGCTATATATAAAGGAGGTATCACAGTTTGGGGCCATATTAAATGCTCAATATGTCTGACTAATTTTTTATGATTATATTACCAAAAAGGAAAAGAAATCCAAGCCAAGGGACTTATCTGATATTTATTGATAAGGCCACACACACCTGCTCCAGGATGAGGCTCAGATGATACAGTTTTGTTCACAGAGGGCTTGACAGCCAGAGTCTTCAGCACTGGAGAGGAACTGGACTCAGGAGATTAAATGGTAAAGAGGGAAGAAAACTGGAGAATTGGGGTGAGGATGGAGAAGATGAAGATTCAATCTCGACCAGTTCATGTTTCATTAAAGAAACCTACTAGATTAGAAAATTTAAAGTCGAGCCTTTCTGCATCTGTTTTTTCTTGGGTACATATGTTTTTATGCATCCACTTTTCTGAGGCCATTTTGTGATGGGTTATTTTCAGCTTTTTGATCATCAAATAATGAGTAAAACACATCTCTTTCCATGTTCCTGAGCCCCAGCCCCTTCTGTTTGAAATGAGGTCAAAGAAGGGGGGAAGTTAAGGATAAGTGGGGTTGAGGCTAGTTATGAGCTCAGAGGTATCCGTGGCATAATTCACTCTATAAGAAAGTAGAGTGCTCTTACCTTTTGATGCAGCAATATCAAAAAGTCTCCAGAGTAAAAAATGACCCTATCATATAATTCATGTCAGAATGTTCTGCTGTTTCCAATTTTAGCTCCAAAATGTAAAGAGCTTGGGCATCATCACTTCCATCTTTACAATGAGAAAAAAGCTGAACAAACTGATGATCATGACTTTTCTTGGATCTGTTAGAGAATTGAGGTCATAGGGCAAACTGCCACCCCAAAATCTTGAGAGGCAGGCAAATACAGAGAATCACACTAAGGTCTGCTTACTGGGAGCAGAAGCCACTGGAGCCATAAATTGGAAGGAACACTGAAATGGTAATTTTAACAAATTGTTGGAGGCTGAATATAGACTAGTGTGAGAGTGAGAAATCCCTTGGGGCTTCAGTCCTGTGTGTGTGTATGTGGGGGTGGGGTGGGGACACTTTTGGGGTTTTTCAT